AGCAATCTACACACTGTTGACTCCATCAAGACTGAGTATGACATGATCTAGTTTCAGGAACTACTTTTAAACTCAGGCTACAAACCATTTGTCATTTTTATACTGATCATCTTAGCAGAAAAATAAAATATAGCTCTCCAGACAGAAATCCTCTTACAAAGTGCATAGACCTTGTGTACCCAGTGACAACAGAAATGATAAATATGGAATGGGCCTAGGAGAAAAATCTTCTAGCTTCTCTGCACCAGAGTATCCATTATGTTGGCATATTAAAAAAGGCCATGTGCTCTGGAAAATGAAATCTAAATGACCCATTCTTCATCTTTCTATCCTTCATAGGTCATATGAATATTATTCTACCAAGAAATAAGGAGTTCTAAATGTACATTTAGAATTCAATTTGACTGACATTTCTTAAGCATACAGTCTGTTAAAGGACTGTAGCTAGACATGGAGGGCTATGGAGAAAAAAAAAAAGCAGAGAGTGCCAAAATATACATCCAAAAAATCAGTGTAGAAGTAAATTATGTCATTTTAGTCAATCATGAAAGATGTAAACTTTTTTTATAATCACAGTAAAGTTGTTTAAAGATGGAAAAATATTAGTGTTAGGATCATATAGGCCATTTCACCAAAAGTGACACATATTTTGATAAGTGCACACACTCATCAGCAAATTAAAAATTATACAATTTTTGCAATTATCTTATTGTTAATGTTACATTTCCACATCTATTGTTAGATTTTACAGGAAACAAAGTATGATTCTTTTAAGTTTTTATTTACCAAGCAAAAGGCAGTCTTGTGTTTTCATAGATGTCTGTAAATGATTAATAATATACAACATATTGATAAAGAATTTGAATCAATTTACTCTTCTATTGGGTCAAAAAACACAAAATGAAGTTTTTATGGTATAATATTTTGTTTATAAGTAATTATTATGTAATTTTGCCTTATTTCTTCACAGAGCCTTAAAATTATTCTGATATGCTAATTCATAAGTCTTCTAGAATGCAGTGCATATATATGTATATATATATATATGACACATTTCTATCAAGAATTTGCTCAAAGTTGAAAATAATTTGAAAGTATCAGTGTTGTAACCAATATATTAAGGATTAAAATGAGAGGAATTCATAAGAAAGGAGACACTAGATTTATTCAAAAGGCAGAAAACTCTACTCATTTCAAGGTCATTTCATAAACATTGAAACAATCAGCATATTTGCTGACTTTATTTAAGTTTGAATACTCACTATCAGCTTTTCTAAATGGTCAAAAAGAATAATAAAGCTTAGCACTAAAAATGATTAGACATATATGACAGAGGAGGATTCCGACCTCTATTCCCCCAAACCAAAGAATAATGTGAAAGATTTTCAGTTCTAGGCCTGCCTGGAATATATTGTGAGTGTATAGGTGTCTGAAAAACCACAACAAAAGAGAGGAAATATTAGGGCAAGTATAGACATCCATGCAAAAGAGTCATTACTTCAAATGGAGTCAGAATTTTACTCATTTTCTGGATATTAGTGACCATGTCCTGGAACCACAACCATCAGGCTCTAAATAATGCACTACTCCATGAAAATGATTTCAAGATGTTATCATAATTACAGAACAAGTCACTCCTATAAAAATAACCTGAACAAAAATATTAAAGATATACTACTTCTACATAACAATATTTTTCTTTTGTTTGCCTTCTTTCAATGTGACTGTCATCTGCTATTAATACTGAGTAATATTGGTAGCAATAACACTAAAATATCTACATTGTTAGTAAAGGAGATAGAATAGGGTGTAGGGAAGTGGTGGCAAAAGAAACCATACTCAACGAAACCTCTGATTTCATGATAGACCATCTTTTGTTCTTAAGTCACATAATCTCAGTATTAAAATACATTATACATGCATGAAAATAGCACGATGAAACTCTTGGTATTATAGAATTAGCATAATCTTTCTCATCTGAAAAATATATAGATACATAGATCTATTGATTACATTTCCACCAATTTTGCCGATTTTACAAAAATGAAATTAAAACTGAGAAACAAATACATAATGGAATCTTGATTTTCTTCTAATTTATTTGAATTCATTTATTTATTCCACCCTGAAATAAAATAGTCAGTTTTTTCTAGGTTGATCTATTTTATGTGCTTTGTAGTATCTTAGTTAAAATAGCCTGCTCAATAATTTGGCAGAGTTTCAATTGAATAAACATTATTAGTAATCTCATACTGTTTTTCTTTTCTTTATAGAAAATATATTTTTTCTACAATATATTTGACTATGAATTCATCTCTCTGATTCATTCAAGAATTCCCTTATCTTACCTCCCATCTAAATCCACAACCTTTCTGTCTCTCAGTGGAAAACAAACATCAATAAAATAACAGTAAAATGAACTAAGATAAAACCAAAACATAAAAGCATGGATAGAGTAAGTAAATAAATAGAAGAAAACATGTGATACATGTAGAGATAGAGAGACACAAATGGTCATAAATGTAGGATGCCACCCTAAAAGCAACAACTAGAAGACATCACATAAATGCAAAGGATCGGTAATGTTTGTATGCAAAATTCAAGAAGTCCTTGTTTTTTACTGCTGAGTAATACTCTAATATGTATATATTCCATACTTTCTTCATCCATTCTTCCGTTGAAGGGCATCTAGGTTGTTTCCAGGTTCTGGCTATTACAAACAATGCTGCCATGAACATAGTTGAGCATATACTTTTGTTGTATGATAGGGCCTCTCTTGGGTATATTCCCAAGAGTGGTATTGCTGGATCCAGGGGTAGGTTGATCCCGAATTTCCTGAGAAACCGAAACACTGCTTTCCAGAGTGGTTGCACAAGTTTGCATTCCCACCAGCAATGGGTGAGTGTACCCCTTTCTCCACAACCTCTCCAGCAAAGGCTATCATTGGTGTTTTTTATTTTCGCCATTCTGACAGGTGTAAGGTGGTATCTTAAAGTTGTCTTGATTTGCATTTCCCTGATCGCTAAGGAAGTTGAGCATGACCTTAAGTGTCTTTTGGCCATTTGAAGTTCTTCTGTTGAGAATTCTCTGTTCAGATCAGTGCCCCATTTTATAATTGGGTTGATTAGCCTTTTACGGTCTAGTTTCTTGAGTTCTTTATATATTTTGGAGATGGAAATAGAAAACACTATCCTGAGTGAGGTAAGCCAGACCCAAAAAGAGGAACATGGGATGTACTCACTCATATTTGGTTTCTAGCCATAAATAAAGGACATTGAGCTTATAATTCATGTTCCTAGAGAAGCTAAATAAGGTGAATCCAAAGACAAACACATAGGCATCCTCAGGAATATTAACCTTCATCAGGCGATGAAAGGAGACAGAGACAGAGACCCACACGGGAGCACCGGACAGAAATCTCAAGGTCCAAATCAGGAGCAGAAGGAGACGGAGCACGAGCAAGGAACTCAGGACCACGAGGGGTGCACCCACACACTAAGACAATGGGGATGTTCTATTGGGATCTCACCAAGGCCAGCTGGCCTAGGTCTGAAAAAGCATGGGATAAATCCGGACTAGCTGAACATAGCGGACAATGAGGAATACTGAGAATTCAAGAACAATTGCAGTGGGTTTTTGATCCTACTGCACGTACTGGCTTTGTGGGAGCCTAGGCAGTTTGAATGCTCACCTTACGAGACCTGGATAGAGGTGGGCAGTCCTTGGGCTTCCCACAGGTCAGGGAACCCTGATTGCTCTTCGAGCAGATGAGGGAGGGGGACTTGATCGGGGGAGGGGGAGGGAAATGGGAAGCGGTTGTGGGGACGAGGCAGAAATCCTTAATAAATAAATAAATTTAAAAAATAAAAAAAATGAATAAAAAAGGATCGGTAATGTTAAAAAAATACACTGTCAAAACTTTATGACCATGGAATTCATTTTGTGTTGGCCATCCACTTATTGGCATGGAGCCTACCTTTAAGAGTGATATATTTGCCCACTGGGACCCCTATTAGAGATTAGTTTTCATGTGTATATGGCTATCAGTTTGAATAGCTTCTGTTTTATAGAAAGGGGCTTGCGTCCATTTATCCTCTTAGCACTGTGATCCTGTCTGCTACAGACTCACAAAAGCCCTGTGCATGCTGTCAAAATCTCTGTGTGTTTATACGTGTGTCAGTCCTCCATCCCCTTTGGCTCTTTCTATCTCCTCTTCAGAGTTCCCTGAACTCTGAGGGAATGGGTTTAATGGAGACATCCTATTTAGGACTGAATATTCCAAGGACTCTCACTTTGCACATTTTCTAGTTGTGTGACTCTATTTGTTCTCATCTATTGTAGGAGGAAGCTTCTCTGCTGTAGGATAATCCTTTGATAAGCAAGCTACAATCCATACAAGAGCAGAAGTTAGGTATAAAGTAGGGGAATGGGGAGGAGGGATAGCTTTTCCTAGTAGGGGGAAATAGAATAGATAGTTATGGATGAATTAATTTGGGTCTGTATTGGGATTATCAAATTGAGAAGAAGGGTTGAGGAGAAAATACAGGAAGGGACAGCTAATACTAATGGTTATTTGAGAGCCTGTATGAAATTACTGTATGTATCTAATACAGTAATTACTAAAATATATACATATATAAAGGCAATCCAAAGAAAATACCTAAATAATGGATTAGACAGGGACCCATCTGAACTTTTTGCATCACCAAATGAAGCTTCCAGCATGGAGAATAGGCTAGCTATAATTAAGTGTCAAGTTGTTGGCCAAAGGGGACCCACAGAAAACTCCACAATTATCAAGGCTATTTCCATGGCTTTTGGTTCTTCTCCATAAACTGGCAGTAAGTCCCTATTGCTAAAGACAATATCTACAGAACTCATTGAACTCAGAAAATGTTACGGGAGGTCCTCCCACTCCTCCAGCCTATCGCTGCTGAGATACCAGCCCATTGGGGCGTGGTCTCAACTTTTCACTTCCTTTAAATAATCTCTTTTGCTTCTTAGATGTTCCGGTTCACTGGGGTGACGTAATTGCGACGAAACATGACGGTCTGCCAGTGGCACCAATTGGGATCTGAGTTATCCATGACATGGATGAAGTCTCCTCTGCGAAAGCCCAGCTCACCATCCTCCTGGGGGTCAAAGTCAAACAGTGCCTGGACATACATTGGCTGCTGTGGCACCTGCTCTATATCCCGCAGGAATATCTGCTGGTTCCTGGACACGGATGTCGATCTGTGGTAATCTACCAGCTCATTCAGAGAATTGAACTTCACCACCCACAGGAAATACTTCCCAGCCCCATCGCGGAGCACCTTGAAGTGCTGGACATCATTCCCAAACTTGACAGACAGGGAGAAGTCCCCAGGGGCACTCTCGCTCTCTCGGATTAGGAAGGCCCCATCATGCCTCTGATTGCAAAGCATTTCTTCTGCCTTGGCTCTGGGGATTTTGCCAAAAAACCACCTGAAAACTGGTTTCTGAAGCCAAAGCCCCGGCCCCTCACTGACTTTTCAGAAAGGCACCCAAGAAAGCCCTGCCACATGGGACAAAGGACAGGGAGACACAGGCATGACGTTTAAGGCCACATATAGTCCCAGCTGATGCCAATAATAAAAGAAAAGAAACTAGTGGGCTGGTATCTCAGCAGCGATAGGCTGGAGGAGTGGGAGGACCTCCGGTAACAAGAAAAGTCCAGCCGGTGCTTACATAGAGCTTTCACCCCTACTGACTAGTGTTCGTGGTATAAAAAGTTACTCTGCAGGCTACCAAAGGAAGAAGGTAAATGCCAACTAAGCAGAGGCTAGATTAGTGATCACCCCAATTGTTATCAGAAAGTCTTCAACCAGTAACTGATGGAAAGGGACACAGTGACTCATATCTAAGCAGTGGACTGAGTTGGGGCAGTCCTGCTGAAGAGAGGGAAGAAGGATTTTATGAGTCACAGTGGTCAAGGAGATCACAAGAGAACCACCCCCAACACACACACACACACACACACACACACACACACGCTAACTAACCTGGGCTCATAGGAGCTTACAGAGTTTCAGCAGACAGCCAGTGAGCCTACATGGGATGATGTAGGCCCTATATATATGTGTGACAGCTGTGTAGCTTGTTTTGTTTGTTAGACTCCTAGTAAGCGGAAGAGAATGTTGTTTCGAATGCTTAGACTGGTTTTGGGGAACATAGTACTCATACTGTGTTGCCTTGCCCAGCCTTAACAAAAGAAGAGCTTAGACCTTTCTTAACTTCAGAAACATAGGAGGATATGGGAGTGGAGGAGAGTCAGGGGAGAGGAGGAAAGAAGAGGATGGTGGGTAAACTGGCATTGGGATGTTAAAAGAAGAATAAATTTAGAGATACATTACTGGAAGTTGGCCTTGAAGTTTCAAAAGTCCACACAATTTTCCAAGTTCTATTGTTGCCTAGTGGTTTTTATTTCAACATGTAATCCAGGAGAACTTCTCCAGCTCCTGTCTGCCTCTTTCTAAAGTCTCAGCCACAATGGTCATGGGCTATAACTGTAAGTAAGACCCCGACACCCATTTAAATATTTTTTTTCTTTAGGTTGCCTTACACATTGTGTCTCTTCATAAGAAAAAACAATTAGCTCAGGTCTAAAGCAGTCAGCATCAACATTCAATAAAGGGTACAACACTAGTGTGATTTATTTCACTCTTAGACAAATTGGAGACTGTACTGACTTTGTTTTGTTTTTCACTTCAAATCATGCTAATGCTTGGCATTTATTTTTCTATTCATTTAATTTTTAAATGTTTTGCTTTAGCATGGGCTTGCATAAAACACTCTGATTAGCAACATTAATTAATTCTTTCAACATCTTGATCACTTTTTCTAACAGTTTTCCATTCTTTATTTGCTGCCTAGATTTTTCTATAAGGAGCGTTTTAATTTCTGTGAAGATAATGAAAACAAGTAATTTTATATGATTTTTCCCTTATCTTCACATTTTATATATATATCACATGCCACCGAAAACACATGTAATCTTTTCAAAAGAGGTGCCCACCTTCATTTGCTCCTCTAAAATATTCCATTCAGACCATCAGATGCACTTAGTTATCCCATACTCATGACCATCCTCTCACAAGCATTATGCCAACAGCTGAATAAAAAGAAAGAATAAACAAAATATTTATTCTTATGTTATGGCTTCAATAAGAAATATTTCTTATAGGCTAGGGCGTTCAAACACTTGATCCCAGCTACTGCTTTACAGGTAGGTCATTAGTGTAGGCTTTTATTTCTGGTTCTCAAGTTCCCAAGATCTTAACCTTTTTAGCTGTTACAAGGCAAACATATGGTTAATGTCCATTGAGTACTTGACTTAGATTTTTCTAGGAGACATACCAGGAGAATGTTTCCAAAGCGGCTTGCATAGGGAAACTCACCCAGTTTGTGAGTTCCAACTTCTCATGTGCTAGAACCATGACTGAATATACGGCCCGAAAAGGGGAGGAAGCTAAAGAACACCAGACTTCATCTTTCTCTGTTTCCTCTCTAAGGAGGCATGAGATCTGATAACTCATTTCTTCCTCTCTGCCACCCTACAATGAATGACTGACCCTTGACTTATAAAACTATGAGGCAAAACAAAGCTCTTTACTTGGATGATGTTTCTATCAGGTACTTGGGAAATATAATGAGAAAATAATTAGTATTCTGTGTCACAAGCTCAAATTGCCAGAGGTTTACCCCTTAAGTCAGTTTGTCTTTCTTACCATGATATTGTTAACTAAAACAGTCATCTCTTTCCTTAAGGTACTTCCAAGGTCTTGGAAGGCTCATTAATATGCCTTAGAAGCTCCAAAGCTTGTGAGTAGTTGAGAAGTCAACCAACATTAAGATGTGACCAATGGTTTGAAGAAGTTGTAATGTCAGAATTTGAAGAATTAAGAAATCTGTGAGTCACATTTTAATCTGTATTTCTATTTAATTAAGAACTATGGGATATTTATGGACTCAAGGACAGATGTAGACATTGACTTCAGTTCAGTAGGCTTTATGTACTGATGAGCCTACCCTGTTCTATGGACATTTCCAAACAGATAGTCCAGCAGAGGACCCTGGTTAAGCTTATGACATCACAAAACAGTACTGTCAGAAATATAGGAAAAGAAATTGTATTTAGAAATGTGGACTTAATGGTGCTGAGAGGGAGATAAGCGTGTAGGGGTGGCTGTATTTTATCTTTCTGTACACACACACACACACACACACACACGTGTGTGTGTGCATGCATGCATACATAAATACAGAGAGAAAGACTGAAAGAAAGAGATAGAGAAATAGGAACTAGAATAAAATTAATATCTTTTTAAAAGATATGTTTAGTCTTATTTATTCAGGTTAACTCCAGTAACAGAAACATGGAAATCTTACATAAAAGTGATGAGAAGTTAGGAGTTGTGTTAACTTACAATGAATTAGACACAGTGAGAATAGCATAACATACAAGTTCAAGATTGTGTACTGATTTGTTCAGGGTGAGAATTTCAGCAAAGCCAAAATTTGCAGCAAATGGAGAAAATCCAATATCTCTCCTATTCTTCCTCGGCGCTACCTGCGAGGTGGCTGCCATCTCCTTTGCGGCATCATGGCTGCCCTCCGGCCTCTGGTGAAGCCCAAGATCGTCAAAAAGAGGACCAAGAAGTTCATCCGGCACCAGTCAGACCGATATGTCAAGATTAAGCGAAACTGGCGGAAACCCAGGGGTATTGATAACAGGGTGCGGAGAAGATTCAAGGGCCAGATCCTGATGCCCAACATTGGTTATGGGAGCAACAAGAAAACCAAGCACATGCTGCCTAGTGGCTTCCGGAAGTTTCTGGTCCACAACGTCAAGGAGCTGGAGGTGCTGCTGATGTGCAACAAGTCTTACTGTGCTGAGATTGCTCACAACGTTTCCTCCAAGAACCGAAAAGCCATCGTGGAAAGAGCAGCGCAGCTGGCCATCAGAGTCACCAATCCCAACGCCAGGCTGCACAGCGAAGAGAATGAGTAGATGGCTTGCGTGCACGTTTTATTTGTGTTTAAATAAAACCACAAAAATTGCCAAAAAAAAGTGACATAATAAGAAAACCTGTATCTTTATTTTTTTTCCAGTGAGCTTTTTAAAAACGTTTACTCTATATCTATATTAACACATGTTGAAGTTACTTTGCACACAAGGAACAGAGTTGTTATTATGAATGGTAAGTAAATCGTGACATAGATATTAACACCAGTTTATTCCTACTTATAATTTAGCTGGTATGCTTTTAATTCAGGAAGGCACACTGGGCAAACTTTTTGGAAGAACATTTTGCAATAAAAGAAATTTTTTGTAGCGTGCAATTAAGTAAGTGATAATTTTTTTTTTATGGTAGATGCATGAAAAATACCTTCAGAGCAGATTACAGTATTTCAGAATCACAAGATGTTTATAGTTCACAAATTCACATGTCTAAATGGTGAGGTGAGGGAAACTAAAACGACCAAAGAAACAAATGACCTACTGCAAAATCCCAGTGGTAAATACAAAATTTCACAATTACACATAGTTTATAGGTACTTATTCAACATTGACCGTTATTCCCTTTTCATATTTTTAATTTGGTTATGAATTTACAGATGTTAAACTTTTACTGAAGAACTACTTGATGTTTTGTCTAAGGTCTGTTCATAGGTTTTGAAAACCCATAACTTACAACTTATAAAATAGTCATAAAATATTAAGACTGCAGATTCAATGTATAAAATTATACTATACTCAAGGGTCATATAACACAGGCTTATTGGTTTTAAACTACACTACATGGTGACCACTATTAACTCCAATTTATAAAAAGGATTTGATTCTTCCCAAGGCAGTGAGAGCAAATTCCCACACAATATCTCAGTCTAATATGTTCCAAGCAATTTAAATTTATAGGTTAGTCAATGGGGAATCTTGTTTCTTTGTAGTTTTGTGTGATGTGAGGTAAAACACATTGAAACAGGAAGATTTAACTTGTCATGGAGTATGTGCTATCAATGAATACCTGAGAGATTGTGCTTTGCCACACAAAATGTAGACAGGAAGAATAAAAGGTTCTTATTGTAAATAAGGTAAATATTTTGATGTGTTTTTGTCTTGCTGAGTTCATGTTGCTTTGAGAGATTTAAGTGGATTAATGAAATATACACATGTATACTTACTAAAATGTCATCTTTGTGTAACCATTATAGCAACCCTGTCAATCACTGCAAGAGAAGAAATTAAATGTTGATATATTGTTTTAGTATATCAATGCTATTATTTAAATAGATACACTTTAATCTCCAAACAGAAATGGTATACGTAATGAATCCCTAAGATTTTCAAATGTAACTAAATTATTTTAATATCTGTTCTAGTTAGAATATTTTTGTCATTCAATAAATTTTAAATGTAATCTCCTCTGTTTATTTTTTTCTGATTAGTACTAATATCAATATATAATCATTTCCTCTAATTGATAACAAACATCCATAACCCATCAAATGAGTAAAAATCACCCATCCCACCTCTTTGAAACTGAGCATCATGTTCTCCAGCCTGTTTGCTGTTGTCTGGGGACAATAGAACATTTAGAGGACCCTGAAGAAATCTGGGATAATGGTCAGTCTTGCAGGAGTTAGCTGTATTATTTGTTTTCCAGTCTCTGTAATGGGAAAACACAGGACTTATCTCAGGTCTTGGTTGGAATAGTCTGTGAGACTGGACAATCTCAGCTAGCAAAATTGGAGTTTGTTGGATGCAGAATTTTGAGGAAACTACAACAGAGGCATTCTGATAGGCAGAATCATCTGGGTTATTTCTCTTCATTGGTGTCTGATTCTTTTTTTCCTGAAAACCTATAAAGTTTTAAATATTATATATATATATATATATATATATATATATATATATCTTCATTAACACAAGTATGTAATCGGTTGTATGCAAAAGTCACTTAAAGGTGATTTTTTTTGTTCTATTCTTAAGCAGCTTAAAGGCATATATTAACTTTATAAGTTCATTTGTACTCTACAACTAAACCTCTACCCACGCTGTATGAAATGATGACATGTAATAAGTCATGAGAAATAGTAGTCAACAAGATTTATCTTGTTTCATCCAGTCTCAGAATTGCTCCCCTGTAGAGGAACCAACATTATGTCACCTGTCCTGTAGTATTTCTTCGCTTCTTTTCTATGCCTGTAGCCAAGATTTTCAGGAGGTCTCCCCAAATCAAATCTGATCTTCATTAATTGTTGATAGAACCATAATTTTTGTTCCCCGTAGAAACAAAGGCTTGTCCTCTCCCAAGTGCATCATATATTCTGACTTACATTTACAAGTTGACATTTTAACATATATAGATAGGTTGGTTTAATTTATCAGTTCCCAAAATCCAATGTCTCTCAGCAGCTGTTGTTTTTTGTACATTAGCATTTAAAAAATTCTACCAACAAAGAACCATAAAGTGTCTAGTCTCTCTGTGTGTTTCCCATCCTTATGTGCTTTTTAAAAACATTTCTTTATTATCTCTTTAAAGACTTTACATTATCATTTTTATGCTATTTTTTCTAGCATCTATGCACAACCTTTACTGTATCTATTTAAGGATTTTCTCAGTCTGGACCACTTCACTGCATACTTGCACCATTCTCTGACCATGAGACAAACTTACTCAGCCACATCAGCTGTCAGGTGGCTCGGGCAGCTGACTGCACACCCTGGCTTCCCTGAGAGCCCTGCCTCGTGTCTGAGCATTTGCCTCCGCTCTTCTGGAAAGCTGCTTTTGTACATGATGCAGAAGGCATTTTTACCTAGCACTACAGCTGCTGAGTTCTCCGCTGTACAGCAGGACCTCTAAAAATAGCTTCACTAATGGACACTGATCCTATCCCATGACCATTTTCCTAGGCCCTATGTGGATATTTGAGCATCTCTGTTGGACAGCATATGTAATTAAACATTCCTTGAGACTGCCAGCTCACAAATAATGACACAGAGAATTATTAGTGATTGTGAGAGTTCAGTTTATAGCTTAGAGTTGTTTGTAATTAGCTTTTATAATTTAAATGAACTCATTTAGTTAATTTATATTATATCACATGGTATTACCTTTCTTTCATCTTGCATCTCCTGTTTCTTCTCTGTGTCTCCTGTCATCTCCTGTTTGCCAAGATTCCTCCTCTTCTTCCTTTCTCTCTCTGAATATTCTGCTGATATCTCCTGAATAGCTATTGGATATTCAGCTTTTTCTTACATCAATCAGAGCAGCACACCTTCGCTCATCATGCAAACACACTACAAGTAGGTGGCATTTTATTATCTTATTTCATTACCCACATAAGAAAATAACTGAAATAAAAATGCGTAAGTGAATTTTCTATTATCTAAATTCTTAATTGTTAATAGAGTTTGAAGGACAAGGGCAGAACAGGATAGCATGAAGAAAAGAAAAGGGAGGGACAAGTAGGAAAAAGATTGAACTCAATTAAAATTTTAACTAGATTCTGTAATTTCATGAAAAATAATTAAAATTTAATGATCATCGAGCTTATTTAAGAGTTCTTCAAACGTTTCAACAAATATATTTATATTTTAATATATATTTTAATATATATTCAAAAATATATATTCAAAAAATAAGAAAAAATAGATTATACATAATTTTTTCCATTTCAAATATATTTTATATATCTTAACATTACTTAAAAACATATCACAATTAGAACAGCAGAAGATCATCCTGAGTGATATATACATGGTATATACTCACTTGCAAGTGAAGTTTAGTCATAAAGTAAAGGATAACCATTCTACAATTCAGAGACCCATAGAGGCTAAGTTAACAAATGGAGCTCAAGGGGGAACACACAAATCTCACTGTGAAGAGGAAATAGAATAGACATCACTGGTGGGTGGGAGAGACGATTCTGCATGGGAGAGGGTGGGCATGGGAACTGGAGGATACAGATGGGGGAGGATGGAGGGAAAAAATACTGAAATCAGTATACATTCCCATGATGACCTGGAAAACTACTACAATGGAAATCCCCAGGAATCTATGAGAGTGACCCCAGTTTAGAATCCTAGCAATGGAGGACTCCTAACAGTGGGAACATGGGCTGTCTCTGACTCTGTTTGGGGCTTTTGGAACCTTTTCCTCTTACTGGGTTTCCTTGCCCAGTCTTTATAGGAGGGGAGGTGCCTAGTCTTACTTTAACTTGATATACCCTGGATGCTGAATGGGAGGCCTGTCTTTTTCAAAAGAGAAAACAGAAGTAGATGGGGAGAAGGGAATATTAGTGGAGGGGTTGGGCCTAGGAAGAGAAGATGCAGGGAAGGAAACATTAATCAGGCAAGAAAATACTAAATATATATACTGTTGTTGACTGGGTTTCTGTCCTATGTGGTCCTTCAGTCATTCAGTCCCAAAGGAAAAAAGAATCATGCAGAGGTCTACATTCATTATAAACTGATTGGCCTACTACCTCAGGTTTCTTATGAATTAATTCTTACATCTTAAATTGGCTCATTATTCTTGTCTACATTAGCCACATGGTTTGGTACCTTTTTTGGAGAGG